AGTGGGTATGGTCGTATGTGGTTACTTTTAAATTTGAACTGGCCTTATAAGCTTATGTATAAACGGGTCTTTTAATTATGTGTCAAGGGAGTCTCTCGCTGTTGTCTTGTTGAATTACAATGGACCTCCTTTATGTACTTACCTTAACCTACCTTCATCTGCCTGCATCAGCCTACCTCTGCCCTTCCATTCTAGCACGTCATAAATATGCGGTTGGCTTGCAGCACACCCATAGACTACCTACAGTAAGAACTCTTGCAGTTGCAAATAATTCCGGCAGCCCAAAATCGTTGCAAAAGGGGGGAGGTTGCAAAAAGAAGGTGCTGGTGCACAGACCACACCTAGCCCTTCCAGCCACTGGATGACTGGCCATAGACTAAAAGAGTGGGCCACCTTGGGGGCAGCTGTCCCCTCGGTACAAGGGTATAAGTGTCCTCTCCCACCAAAATCAGACCCCTGTTTTTGCAAATTCGGGCCATCAGCGTTGCAAATAGCAGTTAGCAGTCTTCACCACTAACCCAAATCTTTAGCAAAAGGGGGGATTTTAGCAAAAGGGGGTGTTAGCAACTGCAGAAGGTTCTTACTGTAGTCCGAAGGCCATGGCCAACCTCCCCTCCGAATACCAAGTACAAGTTCTATGGTGTTAGCCTTCCTCTGTTCCTTGCGTCTGATTCTCTTCGTTGAGGCGTCATCTCCAGGGGTTGGTGGTGGAATGAGACGGTTCCGAGGACGCGGCGGGCCGCGGCGGGCGCCACGCCGAATTGATCCCACCCCGGGCCCGCTCCTTTTTTGGTGAGTTTCCCTCGTGACTCTCGGCGCTTACAATACAATCGCGTTTCAGTCGGTCTCCGAGATACTTGGGGACGCTCAATCTTTTAGCAATAGATGGCGAGGACCAAACGCGATGGAGAGCCTCTTTTGGGAACTCTAGCTACGGCTATAATCGATATTATCTCAACAGAATGACGCGCCGCCCGGCAGTTCTACGTTCCTGGGCAAAACTTTCCTCTCGGTGCTCGCCGGTAACCCTAACCCGCTGTGTTAATCTTGGGATTTCGTTTTGAGGCTTCACATTCGGAAAGTTCATCCTTTTCTCACCTCACCGTTCCTGAATGTACTTTCTTCCCTGAAGCTTACCGTGACTTTCAACCACGTGATGTGAAGGGCATCAGAGCGAGCAAGCATCCAATCAAGACCATCTTCCCAATTTGATGCTCTCTCCTCTTTACCCATCCACTCAGAACAGCTCTCCATTACAATAAAGGCTGACCAACGCCTTTCCTTTCCGGGCTTGGCGCCCTGGGCCTCCCAATCACCTATGCCCAACGATGTACCCAACGCGATTATTGATGAGTCTTCTGCTTGCAAAACAGCTGCGCCGAAGAGGCTGTGCCCGATACCTCTACTCAGTTCCCATCGGTTGTGGTGGAAGTCAGAGTCCAACTTTCTTTTCGCCAGACATCTCGTTCATCGCGCGACACCGAAAAGATCACCATTTTGAACGCGAGGATTGATACGGACGTTTGGAAAACCGATAAGCATTGGTGTCGTCGTTATCGGATCAGACAAGGCACCCGCTCCACGACAATGGGGGACGATCTCAAGTACGCCGCTCCTGCAAGCAAAAACGGCTTTGAGATTGCGATACTCTGCGCACTACCCAAGGAACGAGCAGCTGTTTTGTTACTCCTCGACGATCTCTGGGATGGAAGGGGCAGTGACCGGCACCGATATGCTAGGGCCCAAGGGGACTGCAACATCTACACGCATGGGCGGATCGGGAGGTTCCATGTGGTTATTGTCCTTCTTGACACCATGGGCAAAGTCCCGGCTGCCGGTGCAGCTACCGCCATCCGAATCGGTTACCCCAATATTTCCCTAGCCCTGATCGTCGGCATTTGCGCCGGGGTGCCATTCCCCAAGAAGAGTCAGGAAGTCATCCTTGGCGACATCATTATCAGCAACATCCTGATTCACCGCGACTTTGGAAGACAACACTCCGATCACTTTAAGGCCAAGGTTGAAGCCGAGCATGTGTACGGCCGACCGAACAAGAATATTCGGAGCTTGCTTAGGTCGCTGGGAGACGATGGTTGTCCTGAGGTCGAAGAACAAGCTGCAAAGTACCTACGGCAGCTTCAGGAGAAAGATGATACGGACCCAAAGCGGGAAACCGGCAAATACAAATACCCTGGAGTAGACAAGGACAAACTTTTTGACGATGCTTACGAACATAAACATCACGACCCTACCTTGGATTGCGGCTGTTACACACAAGGTTCTATCTGTGAGAGATCCCGGGAAATTGAGTGTGATGAACTCGGCTGCGACAGCAATTGGTTGGTTCCGAGGCAAAGGCTTACTCGACATCGTGCCCAAGGATCGTCCCCGCTTCCTCAGATACACATTGGCCGTATGGGGTCCGGAGACAGTGTCATACGCTCTGCGCAGCACCGCAATGCTCTTGCTGCAGAAGAAGTCATCGGCATAGAGATGGAGGGTGCGGGAGCTTGGGACGAACTGCCTTCTATTGTGATCAAAGGGGTATGTGACTACGCTGACAGCCACAAAAGTAAAATGTGGCAGGACTATGCGGCGGCTACTGCTGCATTAGTTGCGAAGGCTGTTTTGGATGAGTACTTAGGGAGTGGAAGGGTTTCTTGGTACGCACATGGTCCGTAAGAAGCTATGAACCCGCTTGGTGATTCTGCAAGGTACCAGGAGATGCAGCAAATGTCGGAGAAGGATCAGCAATGCTTAAAGGACTTGCGCATTACCAATCCTCGCCACGATAAAACCCACATCGAACAGACCAAAGGCGGTCACTATAGAGTCAAATTCTCTCTTCGGGGTATGCCGATATCAAACAACTTCGTGCCTCGACCCTCTGATATTACTGATATTGAGAAATCTCTTCTTCCTTGCCACCAGAAAAAACAAGGGTGCAATGTCTTTGTTCTTCACGGGCTCGGCGGAATTGGGAAAACTCAACTAGCTGTCAACTTTGCACGGCAATACAAAGCTGCCTTCAGTGCCATCTTTTGGCTAGACGGCACATCAGAAGACAGCCTTAAACAAAGCTTTGCCAGTTGTGCAAAGAGGATACCAAAAGACCAGATTCCTGAGAATATCAGAAGTCCAAAAACAGGCGATGAAGTCGATCTCAACGATATTGCGGAGCACGTACAAGAGTGGCTCGCAAAAGATGATAATGTCGATTGGCTTTTGATCTTCGATAACGTTGATCTGGATCATACGCAAGGAGAAATACCGGGCGCTTATGACATTCGAAAATATCTTCCGAGTGACCACGGCGCAGTCTTGATTACATCCCGGTTGTCCAAGCTAGCACAGCTTGGCGAATCCAAGCGCATTGAATCTGCTGACCCAGACTTGAGTAAGAAAATATTCGAGAAGTGGTACGGGAAGGAACTAAGTGAGTATCCCAGGTCACTACGAGACTCAGCCCTAAAGCTGATGCTAACGCGCTAATTCAGTGATGGATGATGATGCAAAAAGGTTGCTACATTTATTAGGAGGTCTGCCACTTGTACTCGCGCAAGCCGCTGCATATATGGGAGAATTAAACCTTCATGTCGCTTCGTATATTCGCCTATATGAGCAGCAGTGGGATGAACTCTTCCAGAATACGGACTCCAGCCTGCCAGACTACGGTAATCGCAGCGTGTGGACGACGTGGACGATATCGTTCAACGCAATCGAGACGAGGGATAAGAACGCTGGGAATCTGCTCCGGCTTTGGGCTTTTCTCGACAATAGAGAAATGTGGCACAGTCTACTGCAAGTGGCCATAAATGACCAGGAGCTATGGCCCAAATGGCTCCGCGATATAGCATGCAACGAGGTTAAGTTTTTCAACATATTGAGACTGCTGCTCCGCTACTCTATGATCGAGGCACGAGAGTCCGAGCAAAGCAACTACAGTATGCATCCCGTAGTACATAGATGGATATCGCATATACAAGATGACTCTCGGAAGAGAGTGTTTCTACGGCTAGCGGTAATGTTAATAGGTTTTTCAGTGCCTCACATTACGACTAAGAATTATTGGGTACTCCAGCGACGGCTTCTCCCTCATGCGGAGAGGTGCTTACGGTGGATGGGAAAATTAGAAGGAGGAGAGTGCAACATGGAAGACATTACCATGGGTCATGCAACAAATAGCTTGGGCAACCTCTACTCGGATCACGGCCGGCTAAGGAGGCTGAACAATGTATCAGCGAGCGCTAGAAGGCTACGAGAAGGCGGTCGGACCGGATCATACGTCGACTCTCGATACAGTTAACAACTTGGGCATTCTCTACTCGGATCAGGGCCGGCTGAAGGAGGCTGAAATGATGTATCAGCGAGCGCTGTCTGGTTATTCAGCAGCCTTAGGCTCGTCCCACGCGAAATCTCTCCTTGTCGTAAAGAACATAGCATCTCTACAACTTGTACAAGGTAACTTCTCCCTGCATCAACTAATAGTCAAGTTTGCTGAAATTTACAACTAGGTTCATCGTTAGAAATCGAATCGTCGTTCAATTATTCTTCGCCAGATGAAATTACTTCCACGATAGTTGAAGCTCCGCTTCAATTAGGTTCATCAGCCGCAACTAAGACGTCGTTGAAGAGGAGGCGTTCAAAAACCGAGAATAACTTACGAGATAAGATATGCAGAACCCTCACGAGAACTACGCCATCTGAATCGACGGAAGGCTGAACATAAAGTTGGAAATTGCGTTTTTGCCCCAGTCATCCAAACCATTGTAAAAAAAGCTACTCTCATAGATGATGTTCCTCTCACTAAGCTTGTATATAGGAGTGAGAAGGATATCAAGCGGGTTGTACTGCTGACAACTTTTCAGGGTTTCTACTGAGGGAAAAGGTGGAGGTTGGCCACGGCCACAACATCATNTATAGAGTCAAATTCTCTCTTCGGAGTATGCCGATGTCAAACAACTTTGTGCCTCGACCCTCTGATATGACTGGTATTGAGGAATCTCTTCTTCCTTGCCACCAGA